TGCTGTTATCAACATAATTACCGATTCAACAACATTTAAATACATACCAAAAAATGGTGTATGTATGTAGGTGGAAAAGAACATTAGTTCTAGCAAGCAATTATACAAAATAAATCGGAAAGATTTATCAAAAAAATAAAAATATACCCAGTGCATATGTTTAAAATTTTCATGAAAAATTTGAAATTGTATAAATATTTTTTTAGCGAAAATTTCAATTAGGTGTACTTTTTTTTATGTACAATAGTGTACGTTTATTTTGGCTTGGTTCGTGTATTTGCTAATAACAAGAACACAGAGTGAATCGTAGCGTTTGAAACTCCATTACCTCAACACAAAATATGTTTTTATTAAGCTATCACCCTGTTTCGGTGACAAATACCCTCCAGGAAAATTATTTGTTTCTCCGCATTTAGGTATTTCCATATAGCCATATATTTGTGTATAGTTTTTGTTGCTACCTGTTCGATTCGAGTTGTTTTCGCGTTTTACTTCGTATTTAAAATTAAACTTTATAATAGAGATAAATACGTTGATAGAGAAATAAATATTAAGAAGGATTAAGACAAAAAAGTTAAGCAAGTTCAAGATTAAGACGAACATGAAAACAGTGAAAATGAAACATAAGAATTAGGGTAGCTGACAGGGTAAAAAGATTTATTGGATTTTTTATCGAAAGCTATTATTTCAACGACACTTATCGGATCATCGAAGTTAATAGTTAACGAAATTTATCAAGTTATCCATGTTTATTAAGTTATCGGTATCGTATTACTCGAATTGATCAATGTTTATTGAGCTATCGAAATTTATAGACACAGAAAATTAGTTGTCGACAATTTACGGATAGTTATCGAGCAATAAACATTTATGGGAGTATCGAAATTTGTTAAGTTAATGAAATATATGAAGTTATCGATATTTAGTGAATTATCATTATTTATAGAGTTAACGAAATTTATCGGGTTATCGTAATGCATCAAGTACCTGCAACTTATCGAGTTATCGATATTTATTGTTTTACTGAAATTTGTCGATTTATCGAAACGAAGTTTTTGGAATTTTCAAAATATATCGAGTTATCGGAATTTCAAGGTCATATAAGTTTATCGAGTTATCACTGCTTAACGAATTTTATTGTGTTACCAGAGTGTAACGAGTTATGGAAATTTGTTGATCGCTTTCGAAAAATATGGAGCTATCAAAATTAACTGAGTTATCGATATTTATGGAGGTTTCCAAAGGTTATCGAGTTATCGATTTTTATCGAGAGTAATCGAAGCTTTTGGAGCTCTCGAAATGCACATTTATCGAAATTTATCGAGATTAGTCGAGGTATCGAATTTTGTTGGGTTATCGGATTTTAGTGTTTTTTAAATTCATTGAATTATCGATATGTATCAAATTGTCGAAGTTTCTCGACACACTGCAATGTATCGGATCAGTTCCAAGTCCTGTCAATGTCCTGCAAAGATCTTCAAAGCCACAAAAATTATAGTCACGTTTTAGCTCCAAAGCAGGAGATTTTCCGGTAAGCAATTTTGTACCTTATAAGTTAATCGACGTGCTAAGTTGGGATACCTCTCCAAGGGTCTTAAAAAACTAGAAAATGGTCGAAGTTCGAGTTGTAACTGGCACTACTAGTATGCTTAAATGTATAAGTTTAAACTCGTATTACAACAAAAAATGTATCTTCATTACAAAAAATGTATCTTTATTACAAAAAATGTATTTTTATTTTAATTAAATTGTAAGTGGCTTATTTTAATAATAATTCTTACACAATAAGGTAGAGTTAGGCCGAGCTTCTCCTCCAATTTGTGGCGTGCACCCTGATGTAGTCACACACAAAAGGGGGGAAGGACCTACAGTTTTACGCCGACTCCGAAAGGCGGTTGTATTTTTTTGAGAAGCTGTTTTTCAAGGCAGAAATAAACTCAGAGGTTTGCCATTGCCTGCCGAGAGGTGGCCGCTATTAGAAAAAACTTTTTAAATGTTTTATTTTATGATTGTCGGAAACTGAGCTTGAACCCAGGCCCTGTGGAGCGGTAGCGCGCTCTGCTTACCACTACACCACAACGACCGCCTAAGTACCTAGATATGTACCAGGGTGTCCAGTAGTGATGTGCCGAGTTGGCTATTTTTGGTACTCGAGTATTTTGGTACTCATTAAAAAAAGAATCGAGTCAGGATTCGAGTCAGATACTCGGATCAAGTATTCGAGTTCAGAGCTCGGTATTCGAATACGTTATAGATTCGACTGCTGAACATGCACCCAACCGAAATGCCGACTTTTTATTTAACATGATATTATTATTAACTCCAAGATAGTATATCCGATTTATGTAGATCCAAACATAGAAATCTAATTCTTACATACTTACAAATAATAATTAAAATTAAATAAATATAGGGTTCAATAACAGTTGCTTTATTTATCATAGTAGAACTAGAACTTAGTAGTATGTCATAAAAAAAATATCCAAAGTAAATAATGAGTTAAAAAAAAATAAATCTTCAGTACCTTAAAAGTTCAACTAGTACTTCAATTATAATGCCAATATTCCATGAGATCTAGATTCATAAACAACAAAATTACTCCTTTGGAATTTAAAATTCCTTTCATCTTTGGCAATTAATACCTATAACGATATTAAAATTAATTTAGTTGTGTGGTGTATTTGGTAAATATATATACATATATATTTTTTTTTAACGCTAAACCGCCATTTATATATCAAAAATACCTGATTCGGTGTTTGATAATTATAAGTACTCGAGACCCGTACTCGAGTCTGTGTATGCGAATACTATAATTTGCTTACTCGAGTACGTGAGTACTTCTAAAATACTCGAGTCAGAACTCGAGTCGACTCGACTCGGCACATCACTAGTGTCCAGGTTGTTAAAAAAAAGCGCAATTTCTGAAAAAAACGCCAAAAATCGCCAATTTTTTTAAATAAAATTCATGAAATCGATTTGACAAATTTTTTATTTTAAAAATGAGATCTTGTTATAGCATAGTTTTTAAAACCAAAAACGAATATAATACCTTCAGATAATAATAAATAACACAAATCACTTATATAATAGTGATTTACAAACAATTTTCATTCAAAATACGCATACTTTTTAAAAATATTTGTTTCAACATATTTTGCATTAGGACTGCGCAATTATTAAATTTATTACAACTCATATTGATTAATCGCAAAATCCGCTTTTAAGAGCTCGGCGCTAAAAACTAAATAAAAATCTAATAATAAGCCGAGATCAGCTGTTTCCACAATTTCTTCGAAATCACCTATAGTGTCTGAATCATTTACATTTCTGTTGTTGTCATGTATTGAGCTATTCAACCTTGATAACATACTTTTGATATTACAATCGTTTTGCAGCAGAAACTATTAGCCTTCATATAACACTTTATTCGAACTATTGAAGCTTTGAGGCTTTCCAACCTTATGCTATTTCGAATCTTATGCTGGATTTCCACTAGGCATTAAATGGCAAAAATGACAAATGACAAAGTCGGGCATTAAAAAATTATCGTGTCATTACATTAAAAAAAAATCATTAAGTTCATTTACACATGGCATTTTTTTTAAATGGCATAAATTTTTTGTCATTTTAATGCCTAGTGGAAATTCGGCATTAGTTTTTGTTGAATTCATTATGGAAAAACGGCTCAGATCAACAAAAGCATATGGGCGCGGCAAGGATAATACTTTACTTCTATTTCCAAACATTTGATTGCCTGTTGCGGTTTTCACACCGTAAGCAATTATCCAAAATTCTTCAGAATCGGATGGAATGGTTCTGAAAAAAGTTATTGGCAGGTCGCTGAAACTCGCCCTCTTGAGATTCACACTTTTCTGGTGACAAAATCAAAGCTTTTTAAAAGTATTTAATTGACCAGGTAATCGTTTCAAAATTTCTTCGATTAGGGTGATTAAAAATTTTTTACAGTCTTTTAATATGCTTCTTAAGTCAATTTATCGTAAAAAACTAAGTTTTGTATATTTCTATAATTGGAAAAAATTTGTTTGAAGGGAAAAAATCGCCAATGGAATTTCCTAAATTTTTACGCGCAAATTTCCAAAAAAAAAAATCGCCAAATTGGCGCGAAATCCCAAATCTGGACACTCTGATATGTACTTACTACCTCTTTAATCAATCTTTTTTCTGTTTTGATGTACTATAAAATCAATCATTAACTCTTTTTTAGAAGTATCCAAATCGTGCTAAAATACAAAAACATTAGATAAATCAAAAAATATTAGACATAGTTTCTATTTCTTTTTTTTTTTAACAAATAATTACCTATTTTTTCAATGTCTCACTAATTAGCGAATTGATTGATGAGCTCTAAAAATGTTCACGCAGCAGAACTAATGGCGTACAAACCTTAAGGTAATATTACTTATCGATATCTAGTTTTCTTCTAAAGTACACTGGAATTTCTAAATCCCCTCTTCTAGAGTCCATTGTTTAATAATCGGCTACGATAACTTTCATTTTGGTTTCCCTCCACATTGATAAGAAATTATGAGTGTTTACCATACCTGCTTGAAATTATAGAATACTACTCGTATATATAAAAGCCTTCAATGGCCAACCAAGTCAATTAATTGCTTAAAGTTCTTGCTCTAAACAAGTACATAGAGCTTGCTTACATCAAACCGCAATCGAAGCTTTGAAAAATAATAGAATGTTAAAGTTGGCAATAGCCATTTTGTGTTTGGCGTTGGTCGTTGATGCAGCGCTCGTTCGCGTACCATTAACGAAGCTCAACAGCCGACGCACCGTCAAGAATGTTAAAGCGCAGGCCGCTGTCCTACGTAGTAAATACAACACGAATGCCTACGTAACACGGGAGCAATTAAGCAACTACGTCGACGATCAGTATTATGGCGCCATCACCATTGGTACGCCACCACAAAATTTCACTGTACTCTTCGATACCGGCTCTTCCAACTTATGGATACCTGGCGCACCGTGCGCTACAAACGATCTGGCCTGCCTGAGCCACAATACCTACAACGCCAACGCGTCTAGCACATATCAGGCTAATGGAGAGAGTTTTTCCATACAATATGGTAGTGGCAGCCTTACCGGTTATCTAGCTGCGGATACTGTATCAATTAGCGGCTTGGCTATAACGGGACAAACTTTCGCAGTGGCCACATCGGAGCCTGGTGACACATTTGTCTATTCGGCATTCGATGGCATACTTGGCATGGGCTATCAAACGATTGCTGTTGACAATGTGGTGCCACCTTTCTATAATTTGTACGCACAAGGTTTGATCGACTCGCCCGTATTTGCTTTCTATTTGACACGCAACGGCACATCCAGCCAAGGTGGTGAACTCACGCTCGGTGGCATTGATGCGAATCACTTCAATGGTCAAATCAGCTATGTGCCGGTCACATCCGAAGGTTACTGGCAATTCCAAATGAATTCGGTTAGCGTTGGCAACGCTATGGCGTGTATGTATTGCTCGGCCATTGCTGATACCGGCACCAGCTTGCTGGGTGTACCCACTTCGCTATATTATGAGATGCAAAACGCTATAAGTGCTTACCCCGACGGTGATGGCGGCTACTATGTGTGGTGTCCGGCAATCGACTATTTGCCGACTGTTTCCTTCAACATCGGTACCTCAACCTTTAACCTAACTAGTGCCGATTATATTATTCAAGTTGAAAATGATTACGGTCAAACTGTATGCATGTCTGCCTTTGAAGATTCTGGTACAAGTTTCTGGATTCTGGGTGACGTCTTCATTGGAAAGTACTACACAGTCTTCGATATGGAAAAAAATCAAGTGGGTTTCGCTCAAGCTGCTAGCAATTCTTCGGCGGCAAGTTCTACTTGCAGTTGCGCTTGTGACTGCGTTTGAAGCTCCATGGTTGGAGGCTGAATTTGAAACTTATTCAATCAAAGATGACCTATGTATTTATTAATTTTACAGAGAATAATAAAGAGATATATGTGCAACGAATAACGCAAAAGTTACCGATTCTTGTACATTTTTATATGTATACGAAGTACTCTCCGGGGAGGTATTGATATGTTCAACTGTTCTTTATATTATCCTTTCTATTAAATGTATCGTCAAAGAGCCTGACCTTTCTAAAGCTCTGCAGTTTTTCCCAAAACGTTCCAAGTTCTGAGCATACCCCTTAAATAATTATGCCTCTCGAAGAACGTCGACTGAGATCATACATTAGTTCCGGTCCCTCAAATCCAATTGAGAATCCAACTCGTGCCAATTCTTTGTCGACCTCATTTCGTCGACTTCATCGCTACAGTGGCCTGGTACTCAATAGAGTGTTATCGTATTTTTCTCTGCCAACTTTTGAAGCATTTCAAAGCAGTCTCTAACAGATCACCTTACTTCTTTAATAATAAGGTTCGCATCTTTCCAGCCTTGGTGTCTTCCCAAGAATAACTGTGTGCCTCTTCTAATAGAAGTCATCAGAGTGTTAAAGCTGCTAGCTAGTATAGACTTCACATTCCACCCAAAGGCCTTCTGCACTAACACATGACGTGTGCAGCTTTGAGGTTCTCGTAAACGATGAGAATAATGATAGTAATCGCAGAGTAAGTATGCCTTATCATTATTAATTAGACGGGGAGGATGAGAGTGAATTCTTATTATTATGGACCGAACTTCTTATTATAATCATCCTTGATGAGAACCTTAGCAGTAGTTTTATCAAGATGGGAATGCGAGTCAAGCCTGATAGGCTGAAGTGTCTGCCTGCTCCCAGTGTAGGAGAAAGTCACACTGAGTACTAGTGTGCCCATTATGTACTAATTGAGAGCTCGTACTTGGTCCCGTCTTTGGCCGAGTCCAAAACAGCACGCCAGTCATATCTCTTCTGTGCTAACTGACGCCAATTGAAAATGCCAAGTGAAGCCAAGGCCAAGGAGGCCTTCCTCTTCCTCTGTTCCCAGCATCGCGGCCCGCGTTGAATATTTTCAGAGCAGGAGCGTTTCTGTCCATCCGAACGACATGGCCAAGCCAGCGGAGCCGCTGAATTTTAATTCGCTGCACTATGTCTATATCGTTGTAAAGCTCATATAGCTCATCGTTAAATCGTCTGCGATATTCGCCATCAAAAACGCGTAAAGGTCCGTAAATCTTTCGCAGAATCTTTCTCTCGAAAACTCCAAGAGCCGCCTCATCAGATGCTTTCATTGTCCATGCTTCCGCGCCATACACCAGCACAGGCATGATGAGTGACTTATAGAGTGTGATCTTTGTACGACGAGAGAGGACTTTACTTCTCAATTGCCTACTCAGCCCAAAGTAGCACTTGTTGGCAAGAGTGATTCTCCGTTGGATTTCAAGGCTGACATTATTATTGGTGTTAATGCTGGTTCCCAAATAAACGAAGTCGTCTACTTTTTCAAACATGTAACTGTCAACAGTGACGTGGGTGCCAAGACGCGTATGCTCTGACTGTTTGTGTGCTGACAGGAGATACTTCGTTTTGTCCTCGTTCACCACCAGACCCATTCGCTTTGCTTCTCTATCCAATCCCGAGAAGGCAGAACAGACGTAGCCCTTGTTTTTACCGATAATATCGATGTCGTCGGCATACGCCAGCAATTGTACGCTCTTATAAAGTATTGTGCCTGAGCGGTTCAGTTCTGCGGCTCGTATTATATTCTCCAACATAAGATTAAAGAAATCACACGAAAGCGGGTCCCCTTGTCTGAAACCTCGTTTGGTATCAAATGGCTCGGAGAGGTCCTTCCCTATTCTGACGGAGCTGGTGGTATTGCTCAACGTCATTTTACACAGCCGTATTAGTTTCGCGGGGATACCAAATTCAGACATCGCGGCATAAAGGCAACTTCTCTTCGTGCTGTCGAAAGCGGCTTTGAAATCGACAAATAGATGGTGTGTGTCGATCATATTCTCGCGGGTCTTTTCCAAGATTTGGCGTATTGTGAATACCTGATCTATGGTGGATTTTCCAGGCCTAAAGCCACACTGATAAGGTCCAATCAGCTCGTTGACGGTGGGCTTCAGTCTTTCGCACAATACGCTCGATAAGACCTTGTAACCTATGCTTAGAAGGCTAATTCCGCGGTAGTTGGCGCGTATGGCGGGGTCGCCTTTCTTGTGGATTGGGCAGAGCACACTTAAATTCCAGTCGTCGGGCATGCGTTCATCTGACCATATTCTGCATACGAGCTGATGCATGCACCTCATCAGCTCCTCGCCGCCGTACTTGAATAGCTCGGCTGGCAGGCCGTCAGCTCCAGCAGCTTTGTTGTTTTTCAGCCGCGTAATCGCTATTCGTACCTCGTCATAGTCAGGCGGTGGGACAGCTACTCCATCATCATCGACTGGGGACTCGGGTTCGTCTTCCTCACTACTTTCAGCGCTGCTACCATTCAGTAGGTTATAAAAGTGTTCCCTCCACAATTAAAGTATATTCTGGATATCGGTCACTAGGTCGCCATTGTTGTTCTTACAGGAGTTCGCCCCGGTCTTGAAACCTTCCGTAAGTCGCCTAACCCTCTGGTAGAATTTTCGGGCGTTCTTCCTGTCGGCCAGCATCTCAAGCTCTTCGCACTCACGTATTTCGGCCTCTCTCTTCTTATTGCGGCAAATACGTCTCGCTTCCTTCTTCAGTTCCCTATAACGGTCCCACATGGCTCGCGTTGCGCCCGATCGCAGCGTGGCCCTGTAGGCGGCATCTTTTTTCTCTGCGGCTTCTTGACATTCCTCATCGTACCAGTTGTTCTTTCGGGCTCGCTGAAATCCAACTGCTTCTTCGGCGGCGGTACTTAATGATCGGGAAATGTGGTTCCGCTGCTCGCGTACGTCGGATTGTTGAAGAGTGCTCTCAGAGAGCAGGTGTGTGAGCCGAGTGGCGAATAAATTGGCCGTCTGTTGTGATTGCAGCTTTTCGACGTTAAGCTTTCCTTGCATTGTTGGGCGCACATTTTTTGCTGCACAGAGGCGGGTGCGTATCTTGGCTACAACAAGATAGTGGTCCGAGTCGATGTTTGGCCCTCGGAGTGTACGTACGTCCAAAACGCTTGAAGCATGCCTTCCGTCTATCACAACATGATCGATTTGGTTTCTCGTTTTTCGATCTGGAGACAGCCATGTAGCTTGGTGGATGTTCTTATGCTGGAACCTAGTACTACATATTACCATATTTCGGGCCCCGGCGAAGTCGATCAGCCTCAGTCCGTTATCGGACGTTTCGTCGTGGAGGCTGAATTTTCCGACAGTGGCGCCAAAGATCCCTTCCTTGCCCACCTTGGCATTAAAATCGCCAAGCACGATTTTGACATCGTATCGGGGGCAGCGCTCATATGTACGTTCCAAGCGCTCATAGAAGAGATCCTTGGACGCTTCTTCCGTCTGGGCATGGGCGCAGATGAGCGAGATGTTGAAGAATCTAGCTTTGATGCGGATTGTGGCTAGACGTTCGTCCACCGGGGTGAACGCCAGTACTCGGCGACGGAGTCTCTCTCCTACCACGAATCCAACACCGAATTTGCGCTCCTTTACGTGGCAACTGTAGTAGACGTCGCAAGGCTTCACACTTACTTTACCTTGCCCCGTCCATCGCATTTCTTGGATGGCGGTGATGTCAGCCTTTGTCTTCCCGAGGACATCAACCAGCCGGGCAGACGCACCTTCCCCATTAAGGGTCCGGATATTCCAGGTGCATTCCCTTAAATCATAGTCCTTTATACGTTTGCCGTGGTCGTCATCAGAAAAAGGGGGTCTCATCCGAGGCTTGTTGGAATTTTTCATTGGGCGGGGTTTTAACGTGGCGGGACCCAAACCCAGCGCACGCGAAGTTTTACGCCTTCTCACTTTAGCTCGCTCCCAAACGGGTGTTTGGTTGCTACCCAGAGGATACGTGGATATAAATATCCGGACGTTGTGAGCTGCGATTTGAACCGTACGCACAAGAATCGCTTCTGGCCACTCCCAGGTGAATGGCAGTCAAAAGTTTTCCACTTCTGCGCACGGAACCATCCTCCGTCCTTTCACCTAGAAGTATAATTAGCTGGTTGGGTTAATAAAGCGCGAGAGCTCACAAATTGCTGTATCGCTTACGTCCCGAATGCAGACAAAGAGGTGATGGTAAAATGAGCTTCTTCTTACCCACGAAAGGGCAGGGCAGTGACAGAGATACATAGCTGCAGAGTGTAGAGCGTTCTCGATTTCTACATCGTCCCGGCAGCTTCGACAGAATTCAGGTTAGTCTTTTAGCCAGCAAAATTCCCAGATATTTAATCTCATCAGAGTATTCCGGCAAAGTGCCTTCATAATCGACCAAACCAAGTGGGGGCTTATATCTTGTTTTAAGTGGTATAACAGCCTTTTGCGAGATTGAAGCCATACGAGGGCCCACACTTGCAACTTTCAAGACAGTATTTTAGAATTTCCCCGTACTTTCGACATCGTAACCACATTCTTGTAGTCTGATTAAGAGATCGTATACCACGAGCGACCGAAGCATGGGAGAAAAGCCGCCTGCCTGTCAGCTCTTACTGTCCTAATTTCCATGTAAGTGTTACCCAAAAACTATTCGATTTCGCGCTCGTTAAGCATAGCGTCGATCCAGCCAGATCAATGTGAATTTGATATTAGAAAACCTCTTATTAATAGTAATACATCCCCTATTCCCGCTGATAACCATAATCATCACATCTCCCGCAGATACTTGATTGAAGAGCTATCGGAGCGCTCAACACCGAAATGTGGAAAAACATCGTTGAATGTCCTGTCTATCTTCACAAATTCTGATATCTTATATTACCGGTTATTCATCAACCATAATCTTACCACTACTAATCACTTAACACCCCAATCAATAAGTTGACTCGCGGCCTTAACTACAACCGTCATTGAAAAATAACTGTATTATTGCGTTGAACTCGTCAAAGGCTTTTGACATCGTTTGCCTTTCCATGGGTCCCACAGAATAGTGTAA